GTGTGTATGTGTGTGTGTGTGTGTGTGTGACTATGTTTTATTATGTCCATGTGGCCTTCTCATCATACCACTGGCTCTGGTTTGTCTCGTGTATGGAGAAGATTTGTGGGTGGTTGGCGGGTGCTCTGGTGTGGGTTGCTTCTTCTTTCCTATCAAACATCTATCGTCCTTATCTCCCCTTCTTCTTTTTTGTGTTTGTTACTCTCTTGTAACACCTCTAATCTTCGACACTTATATGACGTTATTGTGTTGCGAGTGCCGTAAAACACTTAAACGAAAACACAGGAGAAGATTTGCCCACCTGTGCTCCAATGTATGCTCGTTTCATAACACGATTTGATTCTTTTCCTCTTGTAGGTGCAATTTGAAGCCACACACAAGGATGATCCTAACCTGAAGACTGGCCCCTTCACGCTGCAAATTATACCAACAAGAAATCGCTTTGCCCCACAGTTTCTTGGAACTCCTTACAATTTTTTTGTCGATGCTCCTCTGTCTGACAACCAGCTTATGGGAGCAGTCAGGGCTGCCGATCAAGACCCGGTAAGACATTGATTGTCCTTTAGGCGAATGGATGATGATAAAAGTGGGGGGTGATGTTGATAGTGGAAGAAAATGGTGAAGATGTAGGATGGTGAAGATGTTGATGATATTGATATGATAAGAATGAGAAGAGGGTGAGCAAGAGAAGGAGGTAGAAATAAACATTTGAAGTAAATACACTCAGTACTCTTTGTGAATGAGCAGCATATTGTCTACTTTTGCAAACAGTTTGTTAGTTTTGACCTAAAGCCCTGGCCATGTAAACACGACGTTGATTATCAGGTTGACAGTACAGGGCAGTACTGCTGACTGAAGTTGTCCTTACGTCACCCCTAAATGGGGGATATTAACATGTTCTTATGCTCAGTAGAATTGTAAATGGGCTGACTTATCAATGTCATGCTCATACTGTGCTGGAACAACATAGGGGGAACTGCTGCTTTTTCTTTCCTCATCCTTACCATCGTCATTTTCCTCTACTTCTTTTGTATGTTTGTCACTCTCTTGTGAACTTCTATTTCCGGGGTGCCTTGATAGTTGAAGCAGACTTTGTGCTGTTCTCTCTCTCTCTTCCGGTGCTGTGGCTTCATAAACGGTCAGCGATGCCGACAGCACGCAGGAACTCAACACTTGTCCGGGGGTCCTTAAAAAGTGCTGAAAGTGGGTTACTGAAATGTCCCAGCAGACAGGTTCTAGCACGATAGCTGGCGGGACATCTCAGGAACACATGGTTCATTGTTTCGTCCTCCTCCTTGCAGGCTCGACAGAACTTTGCGTTGTTGAGGCTAGAGAGGTGAGCAGAGTAAGTCTGATTCCCCGTTTGGACTTCTCTGTTGACATCCACCCCTTGGCACTCATATGACCTTATGCAGTTGCTAGCTCCGTAAAACCTTACTGAAACAAACAAGTCAATGGAGCTGAGGAGATTGTTTCATGTTCAATCTTTCTATCCTCTTCCAGGTCTTCAACGTGCTGACCTTTGACAGGCTAGAATACGGAACTGAGCCGGTCCTCTTCTCTGCCACGGAGACAGCTGCAAATAGTGGCGTTGTGCAAGTAACAGTCCCCAACGCTGCAGTTATCAATGGAGATAGTGGTACTACCCAATACAGAGTGAGTTGTTGGTTTATTTGTTAAAACAGTGTACTCAATTTGTCAAAATGCCAACTCTATTTGATTAGAATAGGGTTGCTCAAAGTCAGAGAATAAAATTTGTAATGTGATAAAATAATTGCCTTTTCTCCCTTTTGAGTGACATCTTTTACACATGGAACTGCAAATCAGATCTGTTTTTAGTGCTGTGGGACCTTTTTAAATGGAGCAGTATATTAACTCTCTGTGGGTTTTTCCTGCTATGGTTATGCATCATGAATGAGCTTTCCCCCTCCCACAGTAACATAAGGGCTCTCATGGCGGAGAGGTTACAGTGTTCGCCTCTCATTCAGTAGTCCCGGGTTCGAATCCGGATAGCAAAGAAAAATTTTCTTCTCTAAATTTATTTTTTCGTGCCTTTAATCAAGGTTTTCCCCTAAAATCCATACTTAAATGTGTATTTGAATGGATATTCAAGGTGTTGAGCTAAAAAAAAAAATAATATAATTCAAAAAAAATTACCAGCTCTCCAAAAAATGCAGATTTGTTTGATGTCATTATTTCATCATGATGCATCACGTGTTATTTATTTATTTATTTATTTATTTATTTATTTATTTATTTATTTATTTATTTATTTATTTATTTATTTATTTATTTTTTTACTTCTCCTCTGTAATGGCTGTTGTTTTTCTGCTTCAGTTTTATGTCCGCGTGAGAGACGATGGAACTCCACGGTTGTCAGATGTTGCTCTCGTGACTGTCACTGTCAATAGAAACCAGCAAGGACCAAAGTAAGTGAGACATTTTTTGCTTTAAGTTTAGCAAATTTCAGGCACTGGGAGACTTGTAAGTCTTTCTTTTTTCCTAGTCAAATTTTTTTTTTTTTTTTCGTCTTTTATTTTGTCCCTGGTCTTAAAGATAGTTATTTTTCTGTTGTACCTCTCTGTAACTCAAACAATTGGAGCAGATTCTTATGTAACAATATGTGCGTATTTCAGACACGCTGTGTCATTATGTGCAGTTATCTGTATTCTTCTGTCCTAAGCTGTCTAAACGCCTTTTGTTCATTTTGGCGCCAACATTTTTTATTTGCTAAATCGAAAGCCGGATCAGTTACCCTACTTCTGTGAAAAAATCAAAGTGAAACTATGACTAGTTTTTGAATGAATTAGAATTCAAATTTCAGAACCTCTCTATTTTGAAATGGTTATGCTGAACCCCCCCCCTCTTTTTCTCGAAACTGCTGTGAAGAAAAAAGGGCGTTTTGTCAGGTTACAGCAGTATTGTTACGAGTAATCCCCTATTGTGCCGAATCTCTTCAGCTTCTTGGTCGAGGACAAGACTGTCACGATCAACGAGAACCAGCGAGTCGGTGATGTGGTGGAAACATGTCCGGCCCAGGACAGTGACGGAGTCCAGTACTCTCTCACTCTGAACAGCCCTCTTGGTGGCAGGTGAGTGAGTGTGGGTGGTTGGCGGGTGCTCTGGTGTGGTTTGCTCAGCGGGTGCTCTGGTGTGGTTTGCTCTTTCTTTCCTATCAAGCATCTATGGTCCTTATCTCCCCTCCTCTTTTGTGTTTGTTACTCTCTTGTAACACCTCCAATCTTCGACCCCCCGGAGCAGTGCCACTGACTGTAGTGTCTTTAGGTCATTCCCAAAGGCGAGACATTTCTCGTTCAAGCACAGTAGAATTGTAAATGGACTGATTCATGTCACGGTCATAACTGTGTCTGATCTACAACAGGGAACTGCTGCTTTTTCTTTCTTAATCCTTACTATTGTCATTTTCCTTTACTTATTTTGTATGTTTGTCACTCTCTTGTGACCCACTATTTCCGGGATGCCTTGCTAGTCGAAGCAGACCTTGTGCTGTTGAAGCTAGAGAGGTGAGCAGAATAAGTCTGATTCCCTGTAAAGACTTCTCTGTTGACACCCACCCCTTGGCGCTCATATGACCTTATGCAGTTGTGAGCGCCGTAAAACCCTCAACTATAATAATAAAAATCCAATCTTCGTTGGTGGTTGGCGGATGCTCTGGTGTGGTTTGCTCCTTCTTTCCTATAAAAAATATTGATTACTTTGATTACTTGATCCTGGGAACAACATCATAGCACTCCGGACATTGCCATACGTGCTCCGCTCCCCGCTCCACTATCCACCTCAGAGTCCATCTGCTGATCATTCCGGTGTTTATATATATATTAAAAAATCTATCGTCTCTATCTCCCCCCCTTCTTTTTTTTGGTTTTTTACTCTCTTGTAATAGCTAAAAACTGTCGTAAAACTCTTACTAAAACTAAAAAACTTACTTGTGATGGAGCAAACTTCCAAAACTTAAGTCAGTTTCTAATGTAGATTAGCTGTCAGTCTATTTGCTGCTTGCCCTTTCATTTAATGATTTTTGTGTCTCGCTCTTATGTACGCAGTTTTCCTCTCCACTAGTGTGAGTAGGCAATGTTTTGTGACACAAAAAGGAGAAAGATTTAGTGTACTATTTTATTTCAACCATTTGGCCGAATATGTCGTGCTTTATAGAACTACGTCTTTTTCATTTTGAAGTCTTACCAGATAACATATTGCCAGGACGAAGGGCTGGAACCCAAATGATCGCTGGACCAGGAAAGAAGTAAAGTAAAAATAAAGTATGTCATACCAGCTGTAGAAGGCTTTGTGCCACTTTAATTTTATGGTGATGAAATCCTCAACAAACCTTAAGATAATGTATGGGTGACAGATTTTGTGACTTCCACTTATACAAAAAATACTCTCTGTTACCAGCATCACGGACTTCTTCCGCATGTCAGATGCAGGAGGCATTATCTTACAGCGCGACTTGAAGCTGGACACACAGAACCGCTACGTGCTGGTCATCTCGGCCAGAGACAGAGCGACCCCATCGCTGCAAGGCAGCAACTCTTGCACAGTGACCATCAACGTCAACCGCAATCTGAACACGCCCCAGTTTATCCGGGAGCCCTACGACAGCACGGTTCTGCGGACCGCTTCAGCCGGCGACCTGGTGGTGCAAGTCACAGCGACAGACGGCGACTCTGTGGTAGGAGGAATCTCTGTGCCACCCAACCTGTCTGTGTCGTCTTTTTATCGCTGCCTCAGAATTACAAAGTTCTAGTGGGTGGTTGATGGGTGCTCTGGTGTGGTGTGCTCCTTCCTTTCTTCCTTTCAAACATCTATCATCTTATCTCTCCTCCTTCTTTTTTGTGTTTGTTACTCTCTCGTAGCACATCTATTCTTCAGCGCAGCACTTATATGACCTTATTGTATTGCAAGTGAAGTAAAACTCTTACTAAAATTTTTTTTAAACTACAAAGTTCTATCTGACAGTTTTGGCTGTTTTGAGTTACCAAGACCACGAGATTAAAAACCAGATGTTCTATCTGCACTGTGAAAATCGTAAGATTATTCGGAGGCGTTATCAAGATTTTCAAAAAATTGCTTTAGAAAAAGCTTGAAATATTGTGAAACTCAAAATCTTTGCCCTCAAATTTCTCAAAACTAGGTACCTAGCAGATAGAACTTTGTAATTCTGAAGTAGCGGTTTGTCTTTCACCTCCCTGCATTTTTCTCCTCCATTTGTGTGTCCTTTCTTCAATGCGTCTTTTGACCAGCGATATTTGCTGTTTCTCAGCACCAGGGTTTATGACTCATGGTTTCCCAGCTGATTCCCTGGTACTGTCCACCAATTGTTTTATTGGTCCTCATATTATCCTGTACTAAGGTACCAGTTTTCTGGATTTGTTAGTTTTGTTTCCCTGTGTGAGTATTCCCACGGGTTCTGAACTGTTTAGTTTGCAGCCAGTGGACAACTCAATCCTCTAACTGCCTGTCCATGGGAAGTCCTGTTCCTTTCCCATCCTTGTGTCATATGTTTCTCGCGTCTTTGTGCTGTTACAGCTGCTCTCTTGTCCACGTTCCTCATTTTAGCAAACACACTATTTCCTGAACACACTATTTCCTGAACACACTCTTTCCTGAACACACTCTTTCCTCAACACACTCTTTCCTCAACACACTCTTTCCTCAACACACTCTTTCCTCAAACACTCTTTCCTCAGTCCATATATCATATCTGACTGCT